ACAGAGCATCCATGTGCCAACCATGTCAACGTCCACAAACGTTCGATTCTCTGGACCTGCCAAAAAAGCACACGAATTCATAGTGCGGAAAACTCGCTAAAATTGGCTTTGGAATACCACATTACGAAACTCCTGCAATGTGCATGAAGTACCACACCTGCCATGCGAATCAACTTCAGGCCACGACAAGAGCCTTTCCAAGGCTAAGAGCCGGGGTGGCGATTTTTTTAAAAATAGCCACCTCGTAAAATCGACGTAACTGCTGCTCCGAAACTTCGAAAGTCCTGCACCTGCCAGCAAAACAAGCGTTGACGTGCGGCTCTCAGAACGTTGGCTGCGGCACAACACGCAGTTCGAACGTTTAGGGTAAAACTAGCTGATTAAGTGCAACGAAGAGAAACGAATGCGCGGCTTAAACATATATCAAATTTGGGCTCTTTTTCGGTTCGTGATGTTTGTCTTCTGTTAAATTTCATTATAATGTATTACTTGAAACAAGAGAATTCACCACCCACTTGCCCGTAATAATATTACTGTAAGAGAATGTAGTGAGCGTATTGTTTTAGATAGCACAAGACAATGAAAGCGTGGTCGTAGACCAATAAAGTGAACACACGCAAACTAGTGAAAGAAATGGGTCTTTTCGTTGGGTTGTGTGCAAGAGAACTAGGGTTACGAGGTTCAGGATGGTCCAGAGGGCGGGCAGCCCGTTAGAGCTGAGAAATGCTAATGTGGCCCGGCACGCTACCGCTACCGCTACATAGCACTACAACCACCACGACCACGACCACGACCACTGCCACTGCCACTGCCACTGCCACCACCACTACCACTACCGCTACATGCTTCCGCTACTACTCCTACTACTCTTGATCCTGCTGCTCCTTAAGTCTATTCCTGCTGCTACCGTTCCTACCCCTACGATTACTGCCAGCACTCAGCACGACCTCGGCCTCTGCTACGACGTCTACCACCACCACATGTACTTCCACTGCGACACTACGACTCCTTTTAAGTCTTCCGGTGGAGAGGTCAGCGCTTAGGGTCTCAGGGTTTAGGGTGGTGGACGGGAGTTCAGGATCTGCCTTGTCTGTTTGTCAGCTTGGCTGCTCGCAGTTACCATCCATATTCATGATGTAAGGCCTAAATCTCTGGTACCACTAATCTCGAAGGGCTTCCTGAAGATGCATTTTTACCGGAAATCCCTTTAATCTACGTAATCAGTCAGGCCTCAAGTTTACCTGCGGGCATTGACGCTAAGCCCCGAACCCGAAACTGTATAGACCCTGAACCCGAACAAATAAATCCCTGAACCCGAAACCTTGGGTTCGCCGAACCAGTCCACCATCACGCAAAATCGCGGAACTTCGTGTATCATACAGGGGCCATCGTAATTCAAGCACGGCTTTAAGGTGTAGTGTACTGTACTTGCAGTGGGAACCTCAGGAATAGAATGGGTAATCCTTCAGGCGTCTATATAAATGTAGGGGCCTAAACACCAATACTGTTTTGGGGGGTTCCTTATGATAGTTATAGTATAATATACCCCAAAACCCCAAAACCCTATTCTTATTCTAATTTTAAGACAATATACTATACACCAACACCCTCTTGTAATTATTAAGGCCCCTACATTTCCCTACAGTCGCCCGCAGAAACCCTGCGGTTCAACCCTGAACCTCGGAGTCCCACCCGCGTCGTCAAAGCCTAATCTGCTGCTCCCACCCCACCTTACAGCCCCTATCTATCTATATAGATAGATAGATAGATAGATAGATAGATAGATAGATCGATATTATATATCTAAATACATGTGTATATGCATATATATATATGTACATATATATACATATTCTATATATAAATATTATATACATACTTATGGTAGAGTATACCCCAAAGTACTATTATAGTTATTACAGACCCAATTACGCACAAGCACTCGACCCAGCACCTCAGCCCCGGATAGCTCTGTAAGGCCCGCACTTGGCGAGGGCATATCCGGCGGCCTCGTTTCGTGTTTAGAGTTTGGGTTTAGGGTTTAGGGTTTAGGATTCGTGCAGATTAAGGTTTGGTTTTTGAAAAGGGCTTATTGAGTCTATGGTGTGGTGGAGGGTTTAAAGGTTTAGGGTAGTGCTTATCGGGCTTACAGGCGTTTTCGGGTTCTTTGCAGGGATTGAGCAGGCTGTTCTAGGTATTTAAATCGAGTTTTATAACGCATTTTACTCACCAAGCCGACCCCATCCTGCTGGTGGCTCATGCTTGGTGCTTGCTGAGTGCGATTCGCATAAGTCTTGACAATTGTCGAGTCTAGGGTTGTGCGGCGAGGGTTCAGGGACCAAAGAACCCTCAAAAGGCAGGGGGCTGAATACCTTCTAGCAAACCCCAAAAAGTTGGACACCGGATTAATTGAGGACAATCAGTGCTGGGATTCCCTACGCATGGCTCTTAAGGATTGAGGCTATTGGGTTTCCAACGTTTGGGCTTCTACTGTATGCCAAAGACCGTATCTGACCTGAACACCGGCATGGCCTACGCAAATAGCGGGTGCACTCCTGTCCAAGACCTGTGCTAGCAGATTTACCAACCCTAAATTCAGCTGAGCTCCCGCAGACTATAGACCAAAATACCCCATACCCTAAACCCTAAACCCCCTATACCCCATACCCTAAACCCTAAACCCCCAAAGACTGTAATGGTTTAAGAGTCCAGGAACTCCACCGGCCCTATGACTCCAACTTGCGGGTTTTCTTTGAGATTGAGAAAAAACCTGGACCCTATAAAACCTACCTCGTCAAGGACACCTTGTTATGATTTCTTGAAAAAAATACTTAAACAGGTAGGCTATTTGAGGTTTCGGTAGGGATTAGGATCTGCGGTTTCAGGGCTTCGTGTTCAAGGGCACCTAATCGCCCCAGCCCCGTGCAGTTTCAGGCGCGTAATGTAGGAGTTTGAACGATTAGAATAGGGTTTTGAGGAATACCATACTATGATTTTCACAAGGAGCACCTAAATAGTATAGGTAGTTATTAAGCCCAGAGTCTGAGGTCTAGGGCTTATAGGGTCTGTTGGTTTAGGTTCGGGTTTAGGGCTTCGGGTCTAGGGGTTTAGGGTCTCGGCTTTGCGGTTCAGGGTCTAGGGTGTTGGGTTTCGGATTTAGGGTCGTGTCTGAACGATATGAAAGGTTTCATTTATGCTTCGGGCGTCTCATCGCGTTGCGTCAGGGCGTCAGGGTCCGTTCGTCCATTGATAGAGATCCTTACAGGGTATATGAAGCATGTATATTCAAGCTTTTGCTTCTTACTGTAACATTGGCGAGTGTGTTCGATTCTGCCTCGTGGGGAGACTAGTAATTCCTTGGACAGAATCTGCCCTAGTCCTACTCGTGCCATGCTACTGACAGAAAAGCTTGGGGACAAATCATGCTTGTAGCTTGTACACTAATATAGGCAACGCGCGCCTGTCGGACTGCCTCACTTGGGTCGTTGATCATGGCCTGGACCTGACTTGCAGCTTCGATGCTTCGGTCGTTTTGAGCGGTCTGGGGTTCAAGGTTTGGGGGTTTAGGGTTTGGGGGTTTAGGGCTTTAAGGGTTAGTTAAGGGGTTTAGGCGCTTAGGGTTTAGGGGTTTAGGGTTTAAGGTTTGGGGGTTTAGGGGTTAGTGCTTGGCGTGTAAGGCTGAGGTGTTAAGGGTGTAAGTTTGTCGGGGATATCCGATATGCTTCGGGCTGAGAAGTTGGGACCTAGCCGATCGAAATCTTGGGCTTGGGGTTGGTAAACCCTAAACCCTAAATCCTAAATCCCTAAACCCTAAACCCCTAAACCCCTAAACCCTAAACCCCTAAACACCTAAACCCCTAAACCCCTAAACCCTAGTTATTGAATGCGACCCTGCCTCTGATCTTTGTTGCAGATTCCGGTGGCTGCCACACTTTCAGGTGGACTTGATTCTGCCGGCCTCTGCCGGTGTAATGTAGCGGCCTTAATAATTAGAATAGGGTTTTGGGCTCCTTTATGGTATATTTACAATAAGGAACCTAAGGAATAATATAGGTAACTTTTTAGGCTTCTCTATTAGCGATTCAGGGCCGAAACAACTTTCGCTTCCGTCTTTTAAATCTTTGACTCTGCAAAGGCATGCGGACTACCCTGAGACTGCACCTGCGTAACACTTCCATAGTTCGCACCGCTTAAGGTTAGTGCTCAGGGCCACAGCCGGCAACAGCTGCAGACGCAACAGAGGTTTGCCCTTCTGGCCTTTGGAGCTTTCCTTTTGAGTCAAGTGCTCTCGGAGAAGGCATGGCTGATAACAGGGATATCTAGCACAGCCAGCAGCTACCCGCTGCCGATTCCTCGACAAAAGCTCTGGCTTGCCTTCATTGCCCTTGGCTTGGTAACAGCTAGGCAGGCATTGCCCGAGAGACGCTGGTGGCTGGCACCACACTCATCTTGTCGGCAGCCAAGGCCGACAAAAAGCAAAGGGGGTAAGGAAGACTGCGATCCTTCGGCGTGGCCCGAAACCCTAAACCCTAAAACCCTAAACCCCAAAACCTCAAACCCTAAACCCTAAAACCCTAAACCCTAAAACCTGCCAAGCTCTGGCCCCCATCCTGGCCACCATCCTGTACTGCAGCGCTCCCTGTGGGTCGAAAGGGAAGGCTTGCAGCCGACATCTACGTTGGGTTTTGGGCTTTCGATTTGTCGGCTGGGGTTTAGTCTTTCGCGTTGCCCTAGCGTAAACCCTTAAATCCCTAAGCCCTAAGCCCAAACTTGAGGCAACGAGTGTCTACTGTTTAGGGCTGGGGCTCCGCATTGCACTTCTTCTTCCTCTTGCGGGCGTCGCTTCCTTGGGGGTCCTTCGGCTCCCAGACTTCCCTCGCCAGCTCTGATTTCGGAGTTTCAGAACATGGGAGACCCTTAGATGGAACCTGAATACTTAGTTGGATCCCTAATTATGACGAGACCTTACCTAAATTTAACAATTACTTGGATCCGTATCATGAAGCCAGTTTTGTTGAATGCTTGTTTACTACAAGCTTGCATCGCAACACATACACACCAAAGTCCCTAATAGCCCCGGTTATGAAGCCCCTATACGGCCCTTGGAAAACCGTAGAAAGAACACCAAAACAGCTAAAATCTTTCTCCCTGTGCCCCAACCCAAACCAAACCCTAAACCCTCAACCCTCAACCCTCAACCCTAAACCCTCGACCCTAAACCCTAAACCCTAAACCCTAAAGCCCCTGGCCTTCTGGGCCGCGGGTTTAGCCACCGTCCGGACCGCACTGGCCGGCAGCGTATGGGTGCGGACCTGATCTTCTCAGGTGCGGCCTTTGGGGGTTAGAAGCTTTTGGGGTTTAGGGTTTAGGGTTTTGGGGTTTTGGGGTTTAGGGTTTAGGGTTTTGGGGTTTAGGGTTTAGGGTTTTGGGGTGTAGGGTTTTGGGGTTTGGGGGTTTAGGGGTTTAGGTTTTAGGTTTTGGGTGCTTCTTGAAGGGTTCTAGTGGAATTGATTCCTAGAGCCTTGGTTTCTGCTCATTAGGGTTCTTCAGAACAAGTGGAAAGGGTTTCGGAAAATTAGCATTCCCCTCGATTGAAGGTGTTGTAATGAGCATCCTAGTTTTTGGGTCTATATATTCTCTATGTTAGGTTCCCCACCGACGGAATGAGGAAGCCGGGGTCTTAGGGTTATGGTCTGGGCCTAGGGTTTAAATCAGTCCTAAACCCTGAACCCCTAAACCCTAAACCCCTAAACCCCTAACTCCTAAACCCTAAACCCCTAAACCCTAAACCCCTAGACCCTAAGCCCTAAGCTCCATCTGCAGAGACTTTGCTTTGTTTAGGAGGATCAGGGTTGCAGATCTTTTCCGGCTGGGTGTTTTGAAGTAGTTAAGCTTGAGATTCAGTTAAAGGAAACAACAGGTTTTAGGGTTTAGGGTTTAGGGTTTGGGATTTAGGGTTTAGGGTTTAGGAAACTACAGGTGGGGAGTTGGGGGTTTGTAGGGCTTCTATAAGGCTTCTATAAGGCATATAGACCTTCTGTAAGGCTCCTAGAACGGAGTACTTCGACCTTAGAACAAGGTTCCAGTTTGGGCATCCGGCCTAAAGGAGTCAATTTCGATTTGAGGACTTCGGCCAGGATCACGGTCTGGGCTTTGAAGTAACCAGGGAGAAAAAAGTATAAACTTTTATTCCATAATGGTTCCGTTAAGGAACAGGACCCAAAAAAATATTAAAGTATGGTACTCCAAAGCCCAGCGGTGTTGCCGTAGGTTCTCCATGGGGGGTTTAGTTTAAGGAAGTTGGGGCGCCTACTACTTGGGGGTTCGTGGGCAGCTATACATGGGCTCATAAGTAGGGTAAGTGTACTTACAACCCATACTAGGGGACTTCTAACCCCACGAAAAAACTACCCTGGACCTCCAAGTAGCAATCACTTCATTGTCCTTCAACTGCCAGCAGGGAGATCCCTCAACCCTCAACCCCCGTTCTTGTTGCTATGTCGCCGGCTCACGTCCTCGATTTTTTTAAATTGCAGCCCGAAGCCCTAAACCCCTAAATTCTAAATCCCTAAACCCTGAACCCTACACACTGCTAAAAAAAGGGCGGTAAGGCACGAAGCTTGGAGCTAGCAATATCTTCAACACACATAGCGTAGGGGCCTTGGAATCACACAGGGACGACAACGGCACATTAGTACAAACTCTTCCAACCTATACATTACGGGACCCGGACAGAACCATAACTCGCAATACTATGGGTGTGCTAAGACTACATGCTTGCCACAGCTGGATGCATGATGTCAAATTCTGCGAAGACGACTGCTACCTACTAGTACTAGTACAACGAGTACTGCTACTACTAGCCACCCCCCCCTACCAACTACACTTGCTCCATCCGGGCTGGGCAGTGGCAGCTTCTAGGCTCCCGAACTGCGACAGGTGCAAAAAATGCAGGAGCTCAGGCTCCCTATCTGTGACAGCTGCAGAAGTTGCAGAGGCTCACTTTCCTTAACTGTCACAATCGGTGAAGTCGCAGAGGATCAGGCCCCAAAACTGCGACTGCAGTTGGAGTTGCAAACTCGACGGGGAAGAAACTGCTCAACCACAGGTGGTCGGATAGTACGAAGACGTTGTAAATACCGTGCAAATCGCAAGTGCTGCCAAGAAGGTTTTAACTTAACACTCCTAAAACCTCTAGTGCAACATTTTATAAACATCAAAAACAGAGATGCCAGCTGTACGTGGAAGGGGCTCGCCAACACCCCTTGCCTCCTCGGCGTAGTGACTGAAGTCTGCGAACTAGTTACAGTAATGACGCAGACTTTGGTTGGCACATGCGATTCGAAGCCTCTTACAGGCTCCCTATCTTAAGGGCTCGTCTTGTTGCTGAACTTGCATGTGCAGTTGTTTCACTTTGACGTTGACTCATCATTCGCCTCGCCTGGATTGTCCGAGTGTGAGAGCCGAAAGCCCCGACCTCGGCGTAGGAGGGTTTGCGTTTGAAGTACTCTGTGGTGTGTGCGCTAGGGTGTGGAGATATTGTTCGGGGTGTTTGCGAAACAGTGTCGTGATCATCCCC